CTTACTGGACCCTGCCACCTAAAAGGACACCTTCCAAACTGGGACTGACAGAGGACCCAGCTTGTGAGAGGTGCCTACAAGATGAATCAGACACACACATCTTACGTGATCGTGGGGCTATAGCTTATTTAAAATATCGTCACCTGGGTCAATTCTTCATGGAACCAAGTGCCTTTTATGACGCCCCTGTAAACAAAGTCCTACATTTCATTCGAAGTGTAGGATTAATATAGGGTTAATCCAAAGGGGAAGCACAATAGACCACTGAAGGTCGCAGTGTGGGGGCCAGTTTTATGGCTCACCCCTCATACTCATACTCATACTTGCAAGACAATGATCACTTCAAAACTGCCGATGTACAGCGTAGCAGTAGTACAATGGAGAGAACAGCAGAATATACATTTTCTCAATCTTGTCTTTCCATCATGGTTTCTACACATCTACACATTTAATATGGCTACAACACAAATACGCTATAACAATTATTTTTTTCAGTTCAATCAACTGCTGTTTCTTATTCTTACCTTGATTAATGAGCCATTTTAACCTCACATTGCGTCTGAATGGTAGGGTAATTATGAAACATCACTTGAAGTTGGAACAGTTGAAGGAAAAATCTGACCTATTTTATGTAACATCACATTTCTCCAGAAGGAGCGAAGAAAACCACGAACCCCTTGGTCTCTAGGCCCAAGTAGCCAGCATATTATCAGTAACTACCCTCATTTGAGGCTTTGCCTCATACCCGGCACAGTAAAGCGGTTAACTTCAAAGGTATTCCAAAATTATTGCAAATATCTCATGTGAAATTATTACGTTTTAAAAAAAAGAAACATAAAAGCTTTAGCTACTAACAACTCCATGGAGCTAAGTCATTCCTGAGAAACTGCCAGAATTTCCCAAAACTTTATGGGACTCAAAGGTTCATTATCGTTTTCACAAGAGCCCTACACTCATCCATATCTTCAACCAGATCCAATCCATAAACCCCACCCTATCTCTCAAAAATCTATTTTAATGTTATCCTCCAACCTATGTCTACATCTTCCTAGTGGTCTCTCTCCCTCTGGCTTTCCAACCAAAATCCTATATGTATTCCCCTTCTCCCCCATTCGTGTTACAATCCCTGCCAATCTCAATCACTCTAATTATATTTGGAAGAGAAGCTCCGTATTTTGCCATTTTCTCTAACTTCATACCACTATATCCTTGTTTGGTCCAAATATTTTCCTCAGCACCCTGTTTTCAAACATCTTCAGTCTGTGTTTCTCCCTTAAGATTAGAGCCCAAGTTTCACGCCCATACAAAAACACTGGAAAAATCATAGTGTGATATATCCTAACTTTTGCATTTTTAGACAGCAGATGAGAAGATAAAAGATTCTGAACTAAATGGTAGCAAGCATCACCAAAATTCAATCTCCTCATAATTTCCTCCAGAATCATTCCCATATATGTATTTAATCTTCAGCACATTTTCAAATGGTCTACTAGCTATCTTCATGTTATGACTGTGCCCTGCGTTCTGGTGACCGGACATCAATATATAGCCTTTCTTTGCCTTTACTTCCTGACCAGCCTCCTTACTATCATCAATTAGAGCTTTACTGTCTTTGTTTATGGTATTTATGTCATCTCCCAACAGATTTACATCACTAGCAAAGACGGGCTGTTGATGTGTCCCACCTGGTCTTCCTGGACCTTCCTAATGACACATTCTGAAGCAAAGATGAAATGCAATGGCGATAAAGCATCTCCTGGTTTAGACAATTTTGAAAAGTAAAACATATCAGACAAATCTTTATCTATACAGATTTTACTATATGTTTCATTTAAACACATTCTAAAAAGCCTAACTAGTTTCATATGAGGGAGAGTCAGTAAACAGCTCATAAATGGCTATAAAACATATAATATGAGATATTCAAACCCAGAAAAAAACATTTATTTCTCGTCATACCCCCCACCAACACTGATCCACTTGTCCCATCACTTTACCAGTGCATCGAAACTCACAGCATGGAAGTCTTTTGACTGTAGTTTCAGCCAATTCCACACCTCTGTTTCAACCTCTTCATCATCAGCAAAATCTTTGCCACCAAGGTGACTTTTTAGCAAACAAAACAGATGACAGTCACTAGGAGCCAAGTCCAGGCAGTAAGGCGGACGCTCAAGAAGTTCCCACTGTAGTTCTTGAATTCCCTCCTGGGTTGCTAGGGCTGTATGGGGTCTGGCATTATCATGAAGAAGCAGTACCCTCTTGCCATATGGTCTGTAAGCTTTCTGCAAACTGCATCCTGAAGCTTCCACAGAACTTCAAAGTACGAGGCAGAATTCACATTTTCACCATGCTTCTGAAAATGGGCTAACAGTATTGCCTGAGAATCCCAAAAGGTAGTAAGCATAACCTTCCCAGCTGATGGCGTAACCTTCCACTTTTTGGCTGAAGATGAAATGGAATGTTTCCATTGCTCTGAAGCACGCTTTTATTCAGCTTGGTAGTAACATACCCAATATTTGTCCACAGTAACAATCCTGTTAAGTATATATTTTCTTTCACCTGCATACCCTAAGAGATGTTGCAAGGACAGACCCATTTGGTTCATTTTTTCTCAGTCCCTCAGTTTTCTGGGCACCAACTTTCCAAAACCTCAGAAGATCAAGCATTATGCTATATGCTAAACCATGGGAACACCCTAGTACGGTTGCTACACTGTCTATCATTATGCTCCTGTCAGCTCAAATCAACTCTTCCATTCTTCAACCTGCTGCACAGTTGCTTGTGTCATAATACCATCAAGCCAACATGGTTGGGCATCATTATCTGGGACTCTTGAACATCCTACAGAGAATTTCTCGACCAGGTCATAAACCACTTTACGCGATAAACACTGTCCACCGTAAACAGGAAACATTTCTTTATTAATATCCTTTGCACTGAGTCCTTTTGCCCACAAAAAATACACAACACAACTCTGCTCTTTGGTAGAATACTCCTCAAGCACAGTCGTCATTCTGACTATTGAAACAAGCTTCTGAAAGTATACATGTGCATCTGCTATCTAGACTGGCTTGAGGATGGTCTACGCTGCTACCTAGTGATACACACAGAAAATCTATTACGTCCATTATAGCTGTTTTACTTCCAGTTCTGACCTATTTAGTGACTATCCTTTGCATGTACTCAAAGTTTCATGAAGACTGGTTCAGGCATTCAGAATTTAATAGGGAGGATATACAGACAGCAAGGTGATCTCATAGGCCGATTTTTTTTTCAATATAAGTAGGTTAAAATGGATCAAAGAGAATTAAAGTTATGAACTATATTCAACTGTCTCCAGACACTGTCCAACGACAGAATTTAATGAATACGGTGAAGATGCAATGTTTGTCAACACATGGAATTTCTTGACCATATGACCACAAATCACTTAAAAACTTAGCAAGATATCACAAGACTTTAAACTGGAATTACTGTAAATAAATGTAAAAGATATGTGACATGGGCCACATTCAAAAGATCGCCTCATCATAGTTCACAAAACCCTCACAATCATCTCTACAACGAACTTTAATACAGGAAAAACACACGTCTCCCATATAACAAAACACACACACAAACAGGCACACCTCAACACTGTTTATCTCGCAAATCTTCCTTACACATGAAGATACTATATCCATATGTAACTTACCTGAAAACGAATACGAAAGCCGCGACGTCTGAAACTACGCTGTTCTGTTTTAATTTTTCATCAATATGTCTAATACCAGTAACGAAAACCACATATACACTTGCAACTAAATTCTTATATCAGCATTTTAATTTGCTCAATTGAAAAATGTCAGGTCACACGCCAACACGAAAACCAACTACCTTCAGCTAATGTCAGTCGCCATGATAACGTCTTAGCGCATACAGTAATAATCAGTTTTATGTACCGGTAGGTATTAACAACTCGATTCGCAATTAATGAGAGAAACGATACGGTGCAGGATTTAATTAGAAAAGACTTAGGCTTGCAACAGATTCGCGGCTAGCGGTGTGAACACGAAAGTTCTGTAACGTCATATCAGTATTCTGTAATGAGTAACAAACTGTTTGCAAGCGCACTGCGAATAATTATTACAACCTGTCTTCAGAACATGCAAATGTATCACTTGCAACTTGCAACAAAAACTTGCTTATAGCTCACAAAATAACTCCATACATCCGCATACACCTCCAGCGCCACTAGGTTGACGAAAGCGCCACAATCAATGCTACCAACGCAGTATCGTACGCTCGCTGCCGTTCGCTACATGTCAAAAAATCCGCTAAAATGTTTCCCCACTGATCATCATCAATCACTTGGCGCTGCGGTTGCTCTTGGTTTCATATCTCATCAAAAGATGGCACCACGAATTCTGTTACCCGTGGTGGCGAACGTGTTGCATGTCACGATTACTGCTTGCTGGGATTGATGCTGTGGTTTCAGTTGTGCGTGGCCTACGTGGTCGTTCGTGGTCTAGGTGGGTCTATGGCCGTCTATGGCGGTCTATGCATTAGTCCTCCAAATTGGGGATTGAACAAAGGATTTGGCATACCAGTGCAGAAAAATCTGCATTGCTATTTGAGAACCAATTTTATTGTATGTACTCACATTTAATGTTTTTTAATTTCATGCATCCTGTTGTGTTATAATACATATATATAACGAGTCGTTTACATTCCTGATAGAACAGACAATACTTTGTAAGATGAGGCACCGACTAATACAAATTAACATTAATACTACTACATATACATGATGAGCCTACAATGACAGTTTTTATACACAAAATATAGAATACTCTTAATTTGTCCATGGGAACGGAACAAAACCAATGGCTTGACTCGATGATGTAAAGCATCAAACGAATTTTATTCTTGTTTTATACTATAACTTCTGTTGTATATAATCTAATTTATTGTATTTTTATGTGAAGTATTTTAATATAAATAATATTGTATCCAATTTTATTAATACTGCAGTTCAGTGGTGTATATATGTTAGCCATGTATTTTGCCTGATGATTGCTATTAATATCTGAAACATGTAGCAGAGCCAAAACCAGGCATTGACCTTGATATAGTTGTGTTGTGACAGTCTTAATAAAGAAATTATACATTTAATGTGTCTAGGGTTCATATTTTATATGCATGTCATTTTTGTGACCTTTGTTCCATTACTATTTTGCTATGAAAATGAATTCACTGTCATCACATCTGCAATGCTTTTCTTATAGTGAAAGAATGAAGAAATAAATTGACATGGACTTGAAACCATGCACATTAAATTAAAATTCGCGATTTTCCTCTGATTTTCTGTCTCAGAAGAACAGTTTTTGTGTTTATTATTTTTTATATATCACAGTATTTGGAAGAAATGTGGTTGGACAGTCAGACAGATAGAAGTATACTTAACTATTATATACATAGAATAAAAACCACAGGACAGAAGAAGAAATATGGTTTTATTACATCACGACAATTTTCCTACATGACATGCATTTTGAAATGACATACATTCACAAATAGTAGTGAGAGTACATTTACACACTTGACTTCAGTCACATAACTAACATGACAGCATATCATGTCACAGTATCATCCACACATTTAGTCACTTCATGTTTATGGACTGCACAACCATTGTCCTGAGGAGTTTCTGAACCTTTTAATCTCTGTACTGCACTATGGCAGTCAAGAGAGTCTTCACATTCACCACCATTCTTCTTAAATTCACAGGATTCATTCAAAACATCTTTCAAGCGAGTTGGTTTCTTAGAGTTTGTGTGAAACAAAAATTCACCAACAATTTTTAAAGGGCTAAGTCTTAGGTTTTCAGAACTAATGTGAGTTCTATTATTCTCACTGATTCCAGTACTACTAACATTATTTTCAGAACCTAATGTCAAAACATTAGCACCATTACAATTTATTCCATCATTACTGGCTACAATAACTTCTTTCATTCTACAGCGACATGGAGAGAGTTTAGTCATGTCATGATCATCTAGGGAGTAGTTGGTGATATCAGCCTCATCAATAATAAGACTATTTGGCCGATATAACTTGCTGCTTGACTCTGGAAAACCTGCACCTGCTGAATTTCTGCTTGATACTGACCCTGTATGTTGTACCCCAAGCTCAAATTGTTCCTTAGACTGACGAGGAACTAAAACGTTTCCCGAATTCTGAATAGTGTCATTTTCATTTTCCATCATAGTGTTTCTAATGAACAGCCTTTCATTAAAGCCTGCAATATTTGATGATAATGTTGCTACAGCTCCAGATACAAAGACATCATCATCCTCTTCAGTGTAGTCCATCACAATAGGTTCTTCAATATAAGCAGAGTTCACTTGGCCTGATTCCCTATGAGTGCCACTTCTTCTTTGAACACAACTGTCACCACTATGTTCCAGTGCCAAATGTACACTGTTGACAGGTCTATCTTCTTCATAAGTTGATGAAACTTCAGTTAGAGTCCACATCCTCCTGCGTCTCTGCTGATCATCAGCAGTGTCCTCACCAAGGGCCAGGTCAGCAATGGCCTGGTGGATGCTATTCATGTTGGTAATTATTGTGCTGAGAGGTGACTGTATTTTGGAACCAGATGCCAAATTACAGCTAGTGGTCTTAGTGGACATGGTAGAAAACTCAGCATACAGCTGCTGTTGCTGTGGAGTCCTTATTTGCTGCAATGACAGCAGGCTGTTATTTCGTGTAGGAGTATTCACACCATACTGATGAAGTGTGTTGTGTGACCCAAACCTGCAATCTGCAACACAAAAAGCAAACTGATAGTGTAATTGCAAACCTCATTTTCCAATAAGGGGAGGGAAAATAAAAGGTTTTCCTGATGTGTTAGCAACATCAGCAAGGACAAATCTGTCAGACATGCAGACCACAAAACCCTATTTATTATGTGACAAGGGATGTATATGGGGGGGATGGGGTATTAGTATGTACATGAAATGCATGAAGTGTCTGGAACAAAACATTCAGGAAAACAAAAAATACCCTATGATCATGGGACCAAAATGGCCATCATCACTGATTTGAGACTTGGGACAACATAATGTTTTACTAATCAGTGTTTCAAAATACTTTCTGAAATTAAAGCTTATGCACATTAGGGCACATTACTGTCTTAATTCCAAACAGAAGAGAAAACACACGAGTACTGTACACCCTTCCACAGACATTTATACAGTGATCTATATTGTTCCCTAACAGATTTATTTTCCTTTTTGTCACAGACTACAGACCACCTTCAGGGCCCACCCAGCTTTCTATCCAGTGGGTGCCAAGGGCTATTTCCATGAGGGTAATGTGACGGTGATGCAAAGCTGAACACTCGCCTTCCTCTAGTGTCAAGGCTAAGAATGATTGGAACTACCTCCACTTTCTCTTACTTTTTCATGGTGTAATGCTTAAATTATGCGCATGGACAATTCTACCTTTACCTAATACACTTAACATCAATTTGTTATCAGACCATTCCCATAAACACAGAGTATAACATTTTATGTGTCATAAGTTATCTGTAACAGATTTAAAATTTGTTGACAGTAGGATTAAAATAGGATTAAAGAAGCAACAAAAAAAAAATTCCCCCAGACTTCTGGTTTAAATGTGAAATATTTCATTTCATTAGAATCAGCAGAATAGTTTTGAAGGTGAAACATGCAGATGGGCAGAAAAACTTCCAAATGATGCATTAATTTCCTGATCTTGTGCAAAGAAAACACAAAACATAGGAGGGGTGAGCAAAATAAGCATGTTATTACATTGTGAATATTTCTAACAAGACCTCTACTCCAGTTATGTTGCACTGTACTGTATTGTATTTATTAGCATTCATCGATCCATTAAGGTACATGACCATTGGATATAGAAATTGTCAGCAGATTATATTGATATTTACATAAGACTGTCTTAACATAAGATAAATAAAAATTAAAATATATATAAGAAACTAATGCATGAAACTAAAATATGAAGCTATAATTACTGGGATATCCCAAGATCAAATTTATTATTCCTATCAAGATACTCTTCAACTGAATAAAAAGAGTTTTCTATAAGAAACTTTCTCAATTTGTGTTTAAATTTATTAATATCATGTGCAACTTGCTTGATACTGGGGGTGTAGAGAGTTAAATAAGGTAATACCGGAAAAATATACTCCTCTTTGAACTTTAGTTAGAATTACTAAAGGAACATGAAAGTCCAATTTTTGGTGGGTATTTATTTTATGCAAGGCACTATTTATTGTGAAAAATCCTTATGCTTTACAACAAACATAAGAGTTGAAAAGATGAATTGGGAGCAAAGAGTTAAAATTCCAAGTTTACTAAACATTTCCCTACAGGAATCCCTTGCTTTGGCTTTCATGATAATTCTTACAATTCGTTTCTTGGTTATAAAAATAGATCTACTGTGTGGCGAATTACCCCAAAACATGATACCATAATTTAGCACTGAATGAACAGAGGAGAAGTAGATCTGTTTCAAGATTTTCAATTCTAATAGAGGTCTGAGGAGGTTGGTCTAGAAGTAAACACAGAGAGGACTAAGTATATGTTACTGTCTCATCGTCAAAATGCAGGGCAAAATCGTGACATAAAGATAGGAAACAGATGTTTTGAAAATGTGGCACAGTTCAGATATTTGGGAACAACGATAACGGATCAAAACCTGATTGAGGAGGGAACTAAGAGGTAATTGAACTCGAGTAATGCTGCTACCATTCAGTCCAGAACCTTTTGTCTTCTCCTCTGCTGTCCAAAAACATAAAAATTAGAATACACAAAACTATAATTTTGCCTGTGGTTCTGTATGGGTGTGAAACTTGGTCTCTGACATTAAGGCAGGAACACAGACTGAGAGTGTTTGAGAACAGGGTGTTGAGGAGAATATTTGGACTGAAGAGAGATGAAGTGACAGGAGATTGGAGAAAACTGCATAATGAGGAGCTTCATAACTTGTACTCTTCTCCAAGTGTAATTAGAATGATCAGGTCAAGGAGGATGAGGTGGGCAGGTCATGTAGCAAGAATGGGGGAGACGAGGAATGCGTATAGTATATTGATTTTTATTCGTACTTCTGTCAAGAAAAATGTTATCAATTGATGATACTGAGTAGGTGCTAATAACAGTTGGAAAGTCTACAATGTAGTCTAAACTATACAACCTTAAAAGGGAGGTGATTTTATATTTTTTGTGTTATTTGTCATGAAATTTACATTAAAGTCTTCACATATAACCAAATTAACCTGATTCTGATATAATATATATAATATTTCTTCTAGTTTCATCAAAAAGGTATCAAAATCTCCTGACGGGGATCTATACATTGACAGAACACAAAGATTTACAGGACTATGACTCAATCTTATCGCACATACCTCAAAGTCCTGTTCAATACAATAACTATCCAAGTCCATATTTATAAATTGATAAAATTTGTAAATAAATATACATACACCACCACATTTGGTGTATATCCTGCAGTAGTATGCACCCAAGTTATAATTATCAATAATTATGGTGTGAATAATTTCCGTTGATAAATGATGCTCTGACAGGCAAAGTATATGAGGTGCATCATTTACCCAATTAATAATTAATTCATCACCTTTATTGCCTAAACCTCTAATATTTTGAGAAAAATATGGAGGTTTGATACATTGCCTGGATTTACTGATTTTGGTATTGCCATAAAAAATCATCAGTTCTTATGCTTGGCGCTTTCCTTATCCTTTTTTATTTAAATGGAATGTCAGTATGATCGTCCTCAATGACTGTCCCACAATTGAATGAATTAACAGAAGTGACACTATTCTCTTTCACATGTTTTCACATCTTTAGTAGCTTGCTTGACACCTGTAACTTCCCCATATGGTGTAAAAGTTGTTGAACTTTCTGGACATGGTGTACATTCTTCTGGTGATGTACTTCCTCCTGACATATCTGTAGCAGCTGTTGTTGTGTCTGATGCTGCACTTAGTCCAGCCTTGTCCCTTCTTGTAGGGGCTGGTTTCCGAAGTCTTCCTGATAAAACAAGGTTGACTGCATCTTAATTTAACTCTGAGCTGATTCTGTCTTCTTCATATATCTTGTTGTTGTGCTTCTCTTGTGACTTTTCTACTTTATCTTCTTTCCAGGTCATGCTGATTGGTTCTATTCTTTTATATAGCATGTGCTTTATAGAAGACATTATCTTCTTGGCAACCAATTCTTTCCCTTTTCCGTTCAAGTGTAGGCCATGTTTTGTAACTAGTTCTCTATTTAAGTCAAGCTTTATCAAAGCTGTATATTCAAAAGCCTTCACCAGTTTACCCAGTTTTCTATTGAAGACGTTTATCTCTTTGTTTACACAGGAATCTGAATGTAGATCATATCTGTGTGGTACACGCATCTGGATGATGTTCGTATGGTTATTTTTCTTGAAGAAGTCTTTCAACTGATTTAAGCCACCAGTAGTCTCATTTCTGCCTACGTCTCTTGTGCCTCCCCATACTACTATCACATCATTTTTTGTCAAGCGTTTGACCTCTTCTTTCAATGTGTTTGTGATGGCCATTAGATCAGCACCTGGCTTTATTGAATTGAATTTATTTACATTCTATAAATCCTAAGCAGGTTAGTACCTTTGGATACAGAAAAAGTCAAAAGGTTACATACATAAGTACAGGCAATTTTAGCTTAAAAATTAATATAACTTAATTTTACATCATTCTCTATTTACATTGAAGTATTCATCTAAAGAGTAGAAGGAATGAGCATGTAGATAATTCTTTAACTCTGATTTAAACTTTTTAGTATCATTGCCCAAGTTTTTAATACTTTGTGGCAGATTGTTGAACACTTTTATGCCAGTAAAG